GGGGGGGGGGGCGCGACTGCTACTACTTCCTAGGCCCTCGTAGCACAGGATCCTTCTTTGAGGCCCTCGTAGAAGGGGGGGTGGCACGACTACTACTACTTTTCTCAATCCGCGGGGCGGAGGGCGCACGACTGCTACTACTTTCTAGGCCCTCGTAGCACAGGATCCTTCTGGAAGACCCTCAAGCACGACTACTACTACTTGTCTCAATCCGAGGACTACTACTACTTTCTAGACCCTCGTAGCACAGGATCCTTCTTTAAGACCCTCGTAGAAGAGGGGGGGGGACGACTACGACCACTTGTCTCGTCTCAATCCGGGGGGGGGCACGACTACTACTACTTTCTAGGCCCTCGTAGCACAGGATCCTTCTTTGAGGCCCTCGTAGAAGAGGGGGGTGGCGCGACTACTACTACTTTTCTCAATGCGAGGGGGGGCGGGGCGCGACTACTACTACTTTCTAGGCCCTCGTAGCACAGGATCCTTCTGCGAGGCCCTCGTAGAAGGGGGGGGGGCACGACTACTACTACTTTTCTCAATCCGCGGGGGGGGTGAGGGGTAAGTTCCCCAGAAGTGGCAGTTGGAATAACTGGACCTGATCGAAACACCAAGCAGTCAAACAAGTGCGGTCGGTGTGCGAGCTGCGACGAAGCACACCTTTTCTATGGCAGTGAATGCAGTATTGGGCTGCTAAGTCTTGAGCCAAATGAATTATGTCGAAAGCGGACTGAAGAGCTACAGACTAATGTGTGTACAAGAACAGGCGCTACACACGTATAGCGTAGACACGCCCAGGGGGACCTAGGACCCTACTAAACACAAAACAGACACAAATTTTCTTCGTGTCGAAGCTTACGATCTCTAAAGTACAAAAGGTTCGCAAAACGTTGCAAATGAATTCGAAAAGTTCTGACTTCGCAGAACTCGACCGTAGATGCCATTCTGGCTCATCTAGGTTGCGTCAGATAATCTTTACAAATCTACGAAAGGCATATTTGCTGTCTCGAACGTTCCGGAATGTCGGAAATCTTCTTTCTCAAGTCGAATCATCAAATTGAAGTCTAATCTATAAGGCCTTAAGTTCAAATATATCTGGGTCATTTAACCTGCATTTAGCTTTGTGGCATTTACCTGCAGTCGGCCGGAATATCGGCCTTTTAGAGCAGAGACTACCTACCAGTCCCTGTGGCCTCGGTACCCAGGGTTCCAAGATGACGAAGAGGAACCGGTGTACCACCATGAGCTTGACGCTCCCGAGGACCAGGGCTGGTGCCAGCCAGCTTGGCGAGCTTGTTTCTTCTGCCGAGATTGTTCCTTCAAACGCGGCATTCTTCTCGCCACGTTTCTCGGCGGATTGCTGGCCACGAACTCTGATCTTGCGTCGGCTGGCAAGCGAAAAATTGCACTGAAATGGATGGTGGTATCCCAAATCGCTGCTCTTCAGACACAGATCAAGATGGTTCAGGTGCTTGAGGAATTCGTTGACCTTAATGGTAGTCTCTTTCTGGCGTGGAGGCTCCTCATATCCGACACGTCCACGATCATCCGGAATATCGGATGTCCTTGACCGCAACGTATGCATGTCCTTGCCGTAATTTAAGGCGATCTGCAACATGCAGTCGCAATCGGCATCCAGACCTTCCAAAGCAGCGAGCTGCTCACTGGCGAGGGTTGAGACCTCCCAGTTATAGGTGATGCGCTTACTCGGCTCGCGCTTCTTGTTCGCAGAAACAAGAATCTGGTCAAGGATGGTTAGGACTGCTCCGGTTCCTGGATCGGCATGTCGATCGCCCCGGAAGTTGCGGTTCGTGAACTGGTTAGCATCGCACGCGATGACGTCCACCTGGTCTGCTACGGCCGTGATCAAAATCTTCATGATGGCGTTCTTGCCGGCCGTAATACCTGACTGAAAGGCATGAGCATTGATATGGAAAGCGCAGACTCGAAGTTCAGGCATGTGCATGCGCTTGCAATCATTCAAGCTCCCAGTCCGGAATGTCGGACACTCGTGGAACAATGCCTCTGCATCCACTGGCGAAGATTCAATGTATGTGGTGGATGCTTGTGCTACAGCTAAGGTGTCAGGGCAGACTGTTGCCTCCATGTTATTTGCTGGATCAGCGCCTTCTTCAAGGGCAACACGGAGGTTCTTTCGGACGCCACGGTCATCGGTGATGCCTCCATCTGTCTCTTCTTCGACCTTTCCCCAGATCACGCGGAATGTCGCGGCATGGGCTACCCAGGCTAATCGTTCGCCTTCAAGTTCAATCCTACGAATGAGCTCCAGCCTTGAAGTGCCAAGTGGATCACTGGAGCATACTGCTGCGATAGCGGGAGATTCGCCATCCGATGTAGCCAACACGCACAGGCATTTGTATTGGTTAAAGAGCTCTCGATGACGCTCGATGCCGTTGGCTTCAAGAAGGATTGTGATATGGGCTGTGTTCCTGACAAGGTAATGAGGAAGCACAGCGTATTGATCGGTCTCGGCGAGATCCCTGGATAGCGGCTGCCTGCCGTTGAAATGAGGCGTACGATTGATATCGCCGAAGTTGAGAAGCAGGACACTGACGTGCTCAGTTGACCGGAGAAGTCGGGCTTCATCGAGGTCAAATACTCCCTGATTCGCGCGATATCCCTGCATGTACGAACGGCTTAACTCGACAATCTGTCGCATCTCCGCGCCGGTATATCGGCGATTGGAGTCGTAACAGCAGCTTGGCCGAATGATTGGGTATGGTGCCACATCAGACTGTTCGTCCCAATGTTGAGCGATCGAGGGAATGGAACGGCTCCTGTAGGTTGGATGGTTCGTGTAATGCTATTTGCTGACTCCTTCGAGTACAATTCGATCCATCGCGGCATAACCTGTTGAGCCGCCACCGAGAACAAGATCTTTGATTTCTTGCAAACGGTGCAATCGACCGACATCACGGTCGTCAGGATGCCAACCCTCGGACTCGGCTGCGAAGGGAATCGTGAAATCAATTTCGGCAGTGATCTCTTCGCGTTCGTGCTCACCCAGCGGTGCCGGCATATCGGCGTCTGGGGCGGTCGAACAGAGATAAATGCTGTTGCAGGAACAATGGTTACTGGCATCGTGGTAGCAGTCAAGGCATGTTCCATGTCGACATGCTCTGCAGAAGAAGAGTACTTCAGCATTTGCACAGGTTAAACAGGTCATCTCATCTGGGCGATGATGGAATTTAGTTGGTGCTTTCTGCGCTTTCCTTGCATCGCTGATGACCTCTCGCGCCCGCGATGTCGCACGCTTCTT